CCAGTATGTGAGATATCTTATTTTTGCTTTACCTTGTGGTTTGTATCTGAGTTTCAAACTCGGTATTTTTACACTTGTTTCCACTGTAGAAAGAGAAAATCCTGAAGTCCACAGTATATCTCTTGTTTGCTTTTACCAGAACTGCTGGGAGTGATAGGTAACACGACATACTGTGGCTGAGCTCTGCATGTGCTGAGTTACTGACGGTAGTGGGCCCTCAGAGGGCTGACTCTGTGGCCCACTTTGTTTTAATTCCAAACTGAACAGGTCAAATGCCAGCAGGGAACCAGGAAACCCAGAAAAACTCTGCCTCATGGCCATTGTATATGCCTAAGCTGGAACCAGAGGTTTTATGGAAAAAGGATGGACCACGAATAGTTTTTTCCCATTCAGCATTAGCAGTCCCAAGAGTTTAAAAATCATGAGTCAAGCCTCATGTAATCACTAGGGTGGTTTAAAAAGGAAAACATTTTAAAATATTACCTATGAAAATCTTTCTGTTTGCCTCTTAGATTTTGAACCTTCTACAGCTCGTTTTCAGCAGTCAGAAACATTTGTTAAAAAAAGCAAATAAGTAAAAAAAAAAAAAAAAAAAAGCAGCAGTCACAGGACCCCAGGATTCAGATTTTTAAGAAAAACTTCAACTGTGGGCAACACAGTTTGCATGATATTGCAAGATGTGGCAATGCTTTGAGCATTCTCTGAGAGTTGTTGCTCCTCTTGATGAACTCCATCGCTGAGCCATAGCTCTTTATCACAAATTAAAGAGCAAAGAAGAAAAGTCTGAACAACTCTTACCTTCAGCAGCATTCAGATTAGTAGTGTCTAATCGCATGACATAAAATCCTGAAAACTCACAGAAATCTTTTATTTTTTACCTCCTTCAACGCGTTTTTTCGCGTTAAGAAACATTTTTAAAAAAAAGCAAAAAAAAAAAAAAAAAAAAAAAAAAAAGCAGCAGTCACAGGACTCCAGGATTCAGATTTTTAAGAAAAACTTCAACTGTGGGCAACACAGTTTGCATGATATTGCAAGATGTGGCAATGCTTTGAGCATTCTCTGAGAGTTGTTGCTCCTCTTGATGAACTCCATCGCTGAGCCATAGCTCTTTATCACAAATTAAAGAGCAAAGAAGAAAAGTCTGAACAACTCTTACCTTCAGCAGCATTCAGATTAGTAGTGTCTAATCGCATGACATAAAATCCTGAAAACTCACAGAAATTTGTCTGTAAAAAGTAAGCTTTAAAATATCTGATCAACTACCTCCTTTTAGATAACGGTTTAGGTAACAATGTCCCTAATCCCACAGGCTTGAGAGAAAACTGGAGACAAGAAAGACAAGAGAAAGGGCCCTGAGTCCTTTCTACCTGGTATACATAGCTTACAGCTTTAACTCGTCATTTATCCATCGAAGGACCCTGATTTTAATATAACACAAAGAACACCATGTTAGCCACTTACAGGAACAAGTAATTGTGCAACTGTGTTACTTTTAATTAATGCACTGTACCAAAGCTTGAGTTGCAGTAAATATTGCATCATCCTTGTTTCCATACAGAGAACACTCTGCCCCGATCCTGAGGTCAGCAGCAAGTTTTTCGGTGACTTGAATGGTGCAGGGTCAGGTGCAAGTGAACACAGGATTCAGCTGCTTACTTCTGGGTTTTCAGTAACTTGATATTGCCGTGTACATAGTCCAGGAAAGGCCATGTGTAGGGATGTGACATTACAACAGCTGGAAAGAGCAGGGAAAATCAGTTTTTTAACACTCTTGCTGAAGAAAAGTTCTGTTTATCTACATTTTTCCCCCAAGGTGTGCCACTGAGGAGTTTAACGACAAACAAAACCAAACAGGAAGTCTTAAGCAATACTGCAAATATTACAAGTGTTATTTATGAAGTTTCTCACTTGGACATGTGAGGCTAGGGTTTTAGCCTGCAGAATATTTTTGTTTCCAGAGACATGAAAGAGTGGCTCTCTAAAAGAAAAATAGATACTTGCACAAAATTTATTAGTTCTGCATCAATATTTTGTTTACTAATTTCCTCACATAATTCACCTGATTTCACTTGATCCCATACAATTTTTCAAACCACACAACCTGGTCAAACTCTAAAGAAATAAGCAATGGAATATTAAAAAGGTGAGGGGAGAAGGGTGACTTCCAAAATATTACTAATATATCCTAGCAATAACCAGTGTTTGCAGTTAGCATTTAATTCATTCAATTAACTGTATGTAATATATTAACTACACATAATTCAATTCATTGGCCATCTAATCTCCAGAGTCTCTTGATTACTGAAAACCAGAGACCTTTGGGGTGACTGTTTCACTCTATGCAGTAGCTATAAAGACAGTATGAACTAGATCCAGTACTGGTGTTAGGTGCCTAAAATATTGAAATAGTTTCTATTTTAAAAAAATAATTACAAGCAAGTTGACAGGGATATAGCTACCTACCACATAGCTAATGGGAGAATACTGCAGTCAAGGGTGTTTCTATGAGCTTGTCCTTGAAACTCTCTCTTCACTGGGAAAGGCAAACCCTAGCTTCCAGTCTGTGTCCAAATGATTGCATAGACATACCCAGTGGATGTTATTGTAAAGGAGTCTTGGACACCCATGATCAAGTCTTCAGCCAGAGGAGTCGTTCTCAGTCTCTGTGTTTCTCAGTGTGCAATGGGAAGAATGTTGTTCCTCTACTGCACCTTGCTTTCAAACAACCTATACACAATGGCAAGTCCTTGGAAGTATGAAATGAGGATTTAAAAATCCTTGGAAAAGAGGAAATTTATTGGGCCTCTGCTTTAAAGACTAGGTTGTCTTCATCAGCTTCTTTTTATAAGGGACACAGTTCTGTTAGACATGTTAGATGTTCCCAATGGTAGAGCCCCCCCCGCCCCCATTTGGCCAAACTAGGGCTGCTAAATTGAAACTGAGGAATGTTTCATTTCCAGATTCCCATCAAGCTGAGAAATGAGACACTTTTAAGGTAGGAAAGTAAGGTTTCTGTAGAGTTCAGGATCGCCAAGAGAGTAGGCTGAGGCAGGGGTATATTTGGATTCTACTTTATGCCTGTTTTTTGCATATTTCATTTATTAGAATTGACCTCGTATGAGTAGAGTTGTTTTCTTTCAGATAAGATCTTAGTTAAACTACTGTGCCTTTTATATTTGTCACTAGTTTATCTGTATTTTTGAATTTATTTGTAGGCAACTGCTAGTGACTAGAATGAGAAACTGGTGATTTATGTAGGACATTTACATCTTAATCTGAATTTACCTTTCAAATCACATTCCTTTCATTACTTCATGTAAATAAATGACATTCATTAGGATATCTTTAAAATTAATTTAATTTAATTCAAATCTTCATTATTGTCCTTCCAAGATTGCAGATTTTTAAATGCAGAAAATGTTAAATCTTCATCCTGTTCCTGTCTCTTTGAAGGATTTATTTTGATAAGGAAACTGACTTTCAATGTGACTCTTCATTATGTTTCTTAGTCATTATATTAAACTGACCTCAAAATATTCCTGTGAGGTTGACGTCACTAGTACAAATTTTGAAAATATAGGTACATTAACTTATGGAGTCACATAAGAAGTTTGTAGATGGTGTACTTCTGGAATCAGATTCTGTCATTTTCTTAAATATCCTATAAAAGCTTTGTAAGGAAAAGATCCCAAATGCAATACTTCAATTATGGTGAGAGAAACCATCAGTATTTCCATCATACCCATTCCACAAATGGGGAAATTCAGGCAAAGAGATGCTAAGTTTTGGTTAGAATTGGTAGTACCAGAGAAAGCTCCTGGCTGTTGCACTGTTGTGTTAGTCACAAGATATTTCCACTCTTGAACTCAGAGGTATATAATCATATTTATCCATTTCTTAAAAAGACATTGGAAGCCTACCTTGTTATGAGTAAAAGTTTGAATTAAACTTCTCAACAAATATGTAAAATCTGATTTCTTCTAGGTTTTTCATGGTCCAGTTTTTTCATCTTCTCATTACGTAAAGTGAAGAAGATCCACAAGTAAGTCCCTTACTTAAACACACCTTCAGTTTAAGAAGGTATTATCTTTACTTTGCATCCCAGGTATTAGTACCTCTAATCAAACTAACACTTGCTTTCTCAGTCAAATATTTCAAAGTCTTTGAGCATAATCTAAAGTGATAGGTACAAGGCATTTGATATACAAATGGAGTAACTTAAAACTTGGTTTTTAAAGTAAAAATTTATATAAAATCAAGCTGATACTATTACTATACTTTGGATGAATTTTATTTATATAACATTGTATTCATTGTATTTCTGACAATTTATTGGAAACATCCAATTATGTAGACAGTGGCATCTGTTACAGCTAGAGACTGAAAATAAGGGTTAATTAAAAGTAAACTATCTGTCTAAATCTGAGATGTCTGTTAGCATGTTATTAACATCTTGAAGGAAATTGGAATGGGAAAAAAACCCAACCCAAACTTAAACCCATTTTTTAATCCAGGTATTATTACTAGTTTGAAGCATGCAAGACAGCCTACATTTTTTAGCTACTTGACTTTAAGCACTTCTAAAAGCCTTGGAGCCAAATAAAAAGTTGGAAGAGTGTGAGGAAAGAAAAACAACCTAGCTCCAGTATTTTTGCCAGTCCTGCTGTTTGGAGACTCCCTTTACCATTTGTATTTAATTTTCCTATCTTAGTACAAACCATCTTTCCAACAGCTCCTGAAAGACAAGACATGCATCTCCCCTGAGATCACCCCAGCAGGAAATTACCAGAAATTAAGGGCCCAGCCTTGCAAATATTTTGTCACGTGAGTAACATATTAGTCAATGGGATACCCATGTGTAAGTGCTGGCTTAATCAGTATCTAAAGTTGGCAACTGCAGGTACACTCCTTAAATAATTCAGGGTAAACTGCAAGTCTGCATTATACAACACATACATCAGCCAATTTTATTGAAGATGTTTCAACTCATACTAGTTTGAGTTATTTTATCATGCTGTTTTTAATCATTTTCTTGCCTTGACTGCTCATCCTCATGTAGCTATATGTTATGAACACCGAATTGGGCATGACATTGAGATTCTAGTGTAATTCAGTCATTACGGAAAAACTGACATTCACATATGTTTATGTTTAGCCTCAACAGGAAGACAGTCAGTCACTTTGTACCAGGTTATAACAAATATGATTTTAATTATTCCTCTTGTGAAAAATACTTTTCACATACGTTTACTAACAAAATCACTGCAAAAGGCAATTAGTTTTACATGGTTTCTAAGACTTTGTAATCCTTTGAATGTAAAAATTTGTTGTGAATGAACATTTTACTTAAATTGGGGAGAAATAAAATATTTTTTAAAAAATCAAATAAAAATGAATACACGTCCTAATGAGTCTTTCAAACCTTCATATGAAATCACAAACCTCTCCTATCATAAGTGAAATGATTGCAATTCAGTAAGATTCATGGTTGATTAATTCCATGGAACTTAGAAGGTTATTCCGAAGTGCTGTTTCCATAATTAAAGTGATGTTAGATCTGTTCTTTCAGGGATGTTTGTCTTTGGATGAGGTGATCCGCTTCATAATTTGGATTCCCCAGAATGCAGCGCAGAGGGAAAACAAGACCTACAACACAGAATTTAAAATGAGAAATGTTATATAAGATTTTAAAATTATACTTGTCTGTAAATATAATGAATGGGTGAAAACAGAATGCTCTCGAGTAGAAAAATTATACAAGAATTCTAGGCATACTGATAAATTCATTTTAGGAATGTAGGCTTTTTTTTCTGTTACTCTTTATTGTGTACATTCCTGTTTGAATCTGTCATTTCTGAATGGTACCAAAACAAGATAACTGGCAAAGTCTGCATGACCTTCCCTACTTTGTAATTGAGTTTGGATTTGGAGTACTCAGAGTCATATATAATATGACAGGACAATCATAACACCGCTGTGACAGAAGGCAGGTGTAAAAATGTAAACTGTTCTTTTTGGCAAATGGTCTGAAGAATGCTGACATTGTAAATTGCATGGTAGGATACAAATACGCAAAGTAGCCTTAAATAGACTCTATGGCAAAAGAAGTGTTCTAGCTGCAGTGCAATAGATCAGTACTTATTCCCCAACCTGCTATTTATGATGAGCTATAAACTAGATTGGAAAGAACTTAAAGATGTAATACTCTTTATCTTGTCCTTGGCTCTGTGCATTTTTTATTTTTTTTTGGTGAGTGAATTTTAATGAGAGATCTCATAATTTTTTTTTCATTAGTTTATTTGCTGAAAACTGCTTTGGGATGAGTAGGAGTATTTGCAAGGTAAAGTCTAATTCAGGTAACAGCTTTGTCCAAAAACCAAGAAAGAGAGCAGGATAAAAAGTGTGTGCACATGCGTGTATGTGAAATTTCCTGAAAGAAACCTTTGTCTTTCACATAGAAAAACTTCTCTAACTTGAAAGGAGTGAAAAGTGAAATTTTTTACTGTGAGTTAAACAAAACATTCCGTTTATACTGAACGATATTTTGTTCAGGTGATTTTTTGTTTGTTTGAAGGGGCAGAGAAAATTGAAAAGAAAAGGAATTTTGAGGTCAGCTTATAATAATTCTTTTTTCGGGTTAATCTGCAATCAAAAGGTACTGACTAGGAGAGGTCCAATTTTAACATTAACATCATTTAACATTAACATCATTTAACATTCAACATTAACAATGCATGGCCCAAAAATCTGCTTCTGTCCTCATCTACACAGTCACTCACCGAAGTACATGAGATCTGAATGTCCAAATAAGTAATAAATGACCACAATACCTAAAAGGTACTCATTTTGCACTCATTGAAGGGAATGTGATGGCAACATGTCTGATCCCTCTCGCAACCTGTTTGGAACAGGTACAGGCTTCACGTAATCTATATATTACATACTTAGCAGCACGAGATGGAAATAGCACAATGTGTCAGTAAGTAGAATTCCAATCAAATAAAAAAAATCCAATCCCCATTCAACCTCTATCAAGACAAATTCCCTTCGACTATTTTCATTGAATGCTTTAATTCTACTAGAGCAAGGGTAGGCTGTCTACTGTGTTTAAAACTTCTGATGATACTGTTGGTGCTGTATTTGTGGTCCCATTTGTAAGAAAGACTCAAAATTCTCACCAAAAGACTGACTTATAAGAGTTTCAGACCTTTAACTATGAAAGATTTAACTTCTTTTTTTTTCTTGCATTATCACAAACACCTTGTAAAACTGCATAGCTCTATTTTACAGCTATGGAATGGAAAGACATTTTTAAGCAGTGCTGCAGGCACATACTCTTCATGTTTTGTGACATGCTTTATTTCTATGCTGAGATGCCCTGTTGAAGAAAACCAACTACAAATAACTATCTGTATTTCTGATTTGGCTGTTATGTAATTGGGATGAGCGTGAATCGTGACATACATAAAATGACATATAACATGCTCTTACTGTGGAAAAACTCTTTGTTGTGCTATTTCCAGAAACAGATCTTATCCACTTGTCATAATTAGTACTTCTCTGACACGTTACTAAACTCCTTTCATTCCTCACCTCAGAAAGATCACTCCTGTTCCTGGAAGATGCATTAAATATAGAAGTATTTCATTTTCAGAAGCAGCACGTTTAAGCACATTTAATGACTGAGGTGCAGGGCATTTGTAGGGGATTAATGACTGCTGGGAGATGATGATCACCTGAAGAAGCACAGCCATGGGCCATTAAGCCCCAGGAAATGTCCTCAGCTAAAGATGGTTATTGCTATTATAGCCCAAAAATGAAAAAAACATCTTGGGTGAATTTTTCTTTGTAAAATGCAGCGATGCAGTTTCTTCTTTCTTAATTAAATTCTTTATTGTGAATTTCTTAAAGCATGCAATCAATGCTTGTGGGGGCGTATTTCAAATTGCAGTTATTATATCCAGAATGAAAAACCACATACTGCACATTGTGGATCTGCAGAACTAGTTTGGCTTCATGATTCTATAAAAGTATTGATTCACTGCCTATCAATGTCAGAACTGCCAGTACTCGATGGAAATAACGTATTCATGAAACAATAATGCTGCAAGGTTGTGAGGGACGGAGTTTCAGAAAAACCCAAACATCAGGGGAAAAAATTAAGGGGCCACATCCTCCCTTGCATGACAGCAATTCTGGCTGGCTCTACTACTATAATGCTGACCTACCCTGAGCAGAGCCAGCTGTATGGGGCTACCAAGCAGAAGCTTGCTGTGTTGGTTGGAGTTCAGTTTCTTTTGATTGCTGCTACATATTCTGGAGCTACAAGGCTTGACCCACTTGAATGAATGGTGCAATCAGGTGATGTCAGCAATGGAAAGCTGAGATGATGCGTGCCAGAATTTTGAGCAGACAACAGTGCAGGCAGTAGGAAGCAGTAGAAGAGCATTCCACCAGGCGACCTGAACTATAGTTGACCAATATTTTTTATAATGCCCTTGGGAAAACAGATTTCCTGAATCCGATATGCAGATATTTTGCATTTTCTGTTCAACTCTCTTGCACCCTAATAGGTTGGGTTTTGGCTTTGGGCTTTTTTTTCCTCATTCCTTCATGTATTGTCCAAAACAACTAATATTTGTCCCTTGATTAAAATATTCACGTATTTTCCTAATTCAGCCAGTTTTGAAATAAAAAGATAGAATTAAATAGTATACTTTTTTATTTTTTTACACTGAGAAAAGTTCCCCCACAAACAATCTTACCAAAAAACAATAGTTTAACTTCTGTATTCAAATGAAGAATTACTGTGGACAGTGGTAATATATGGAACAGCTAAGCCTAAAAGCAGAATTTCTCACAACCACATATCCAGCAGAGTTAAATGCAAACTTTTTGCCACCTTAATATAAGCACTTGTTACATTTACCTGTTCAAGTAACTACAGATTAATTATAGACTGTGCTTTAGACTGCTGGAAGAGGACAGTCCTCTTCCAAATATTTACATTACCTCCTTTCATACAGTCTTTCTATTTCCATACAACCCCTATTCTCTCTCTGAATAAGCCTACAGAAATGTAAATAACATTCTTCAGAAGAACAAAGATAGCTTAACTAATGGATTGACTGCAGGACTGAGTCTGCTCTTCACAGGAAATCCCCACTGGAGTGATCAAAGTTTATTAGGCTGTAAACTACTTTAAAATAATTAGCTAAATTCAGGCACCCACTTCCACATGATTAGCTTTGTTGTTGATCACTAATGTTACTTTTTGCCATTTTCTCTTTTGTAATGGCTTTGTATATCTGAGTTTCCTAGACATAGTGTCTTTCCTCTGGATAGAATTAGAAGGTTTTAGACATTGGTCTAGAAATGTAGACAAATGTCCAGATAGCCCTGCTTTAAGGAGGGGAAAGAGGCTCAAACCACAAGACCTCAGATCCCTTCCAACCTAAATCATTCAATGATTCTCTGACATTTCTCAGACTCTGCCCAGATGTATTTGCTCCAAATTTTGCTGCAGAGACAGTCTGCAACTGGCAACAAATTGGCTATATCTGGGGTACAACACCACATGAATGGGCATGTTTTTGATACTGAATTCTCTGAACACCTCTGTGCTGGGCAATGTATTCCTAGCTCTAGAGAGGGCTCAGGAAGATCAGCACATCCATGTACTTCATTGGGTTGGCTGTTCACATAATAAAGTGGACCTGGTACTGGTAAACGTGATAAACAATAAGCCCTCCCAATGTGATGCTGAGAATTGTTTAACTGATATTGCAAATCAGACATGTTTAAGGTTCTTTTTATATTCTTATATTATATATCTACAGTCTGGGCATGGCTTCTTCAAAGGCACCAGAAATCATTTCATACTATCGATACTAATGATAGTCATTTTTAGACTTTTATCTGAGAAGGCTGTGTCTGGGTAATGTCATTGTCCTTTTCTAGTAAAGATGGAGATTATGAACTGATATAACAGTTAACAAAAAATACTGATATTAATAACAAAATGGTTGAATAAACTACTCCAGATTTCACAAGTACCTAAACGGTGCAGTTTTCACTAATACCATCGCTGTTTTCCCACTTCTTTATACAGGACTGCTTCAGGTGCTGAACTACACAGAGGAAATAGATAGAAAATATATGTCTCAGAAGTGGGGAAAGAGGTTCACTATTTCTGGAAGTTTTTGGGTAATTGGGATTTGGGTAATAAACACATGGATCTTCATTCTCAGTGCAATGTTTTGAGATGAGCAGTCTGAGGCTAGTAGAGGAATGCCATGGCATTTACAGCAGATCCAGAAATCTCTCATCTTGTACATTGCACAGATCAAGAAGATCGCACTAGCAAAAAAGTTGCAATAACAATACCTGGAAAGGGAAACCAAGAAATAAGAAGGTTCCCTCTCTGTGTACTTGGAAATATATGGAGGAGGAAGTGAGAAACTGGGTTTTTTGTCTGTTTTTTTGTTGTTGGTTTTTTTTTTTTTTTGTGAAGGATCTGTGGATAGAAGGGAACAGGGTCAACTACAATAGTAGTGGCTTCACAGCATTTGTCCAAGATTTCTGTAAAGGTAGCAGGATGTCTGGAGATTATCCATAAGGGTTCATGACACACATTCAGGTTATTG